CCTCTCTTTCTTCATCTCTCCGCCATTTTGTTTTGTATTAGCTTGTGAGTATGTGAGTCGGTGCACGATGTGATTATTTTTTATCTTCTCAACAAATTATCGAATTTTCGCAATTTAATCCTTCTAGAAGATCAAAGTTAAGGAAAACTGACGGTAAGTGAATCATATTTAATTATATTGAACATTGTGAAAACAAAAACTTTTGATGCATACTATTGGGGTTTCCTGGCTGAAACGAAATGGTAAATTCTTCTGAGCTAAATTCATAACAACTGACGCTAGTTACACTATGCCGATAGCCGACTGCTCATTGCCTATGAATATCACGAAAATCCTTGCTACCTTGAATAAAAACAAGGATATCTCGAGGAACTCGCATAATGATACTCATGAGAATGTCTTGAACAATTCGTGATGCGAACTCTCAGATACCTCGACAGAAGCATCATTCGTGAATACCTTGGTTTACTCGTAGTTGCGAGTGAATTGACGCGAATCTCTCGAATTTCTTACCGCAAGCCTATGTGTGGAAATATCATGAATAACTCCTAGTTGCGAACACTACAGACCTCGTAGGTAGTAATTGATACGAATCTCCTGAAGTACTCGCCACAAGGCTATGTGTGCGAATATTTCGAATAATTTGGTTCTGCGAATACTTGGAGATCGCACCAGTGGCAATTGATGCGAATCTCTCAAAGTTCTCGGAACAAGGTTCTGTATGCGAATTTCTCAAAGAACTCGCCTGAATGTATTGTATGTGAATTTCTTCGTGGGATATCGCTTAGAACTCGTTGAGAATATCCGGGTGCCACACATTTGGAGCAAAAATAGTGCTCTCGGCAACCGCTCGAAGTAGTAATGAAAGACGTGTTGGGATTATGTTTTTATATCTTCATCAATATTGATATCACCATATATTATTTTCCATGATGATTCCAGTGTTTATGTCATTCTTAGGCTGGGGTCCAGCTTTGATAGGCCAGGGAGGTATGTCATGTAGTAAATCCCAATCAAATTTTCATCTATCTGAATATTCATTTCAAATTCACTGTATTGCATGACACTCATACCAGACGGGAACTGGAGTTTCTTATTACACTACACTTTTTCATCACTAACCAAACCGATTTTTTAAACACCTCGACATGTGTCTCGCTATGTTAGCATCATCTTCAGGAAAAGATTAAAAAAAACAGTTCTGATTTTCTCCTGAAGATGCCAACATAGTTAGCGAAACACAGGCGCTTAAAAAATCGGTTTGGTTAGTGGTGAAACAGTGTACTGTTTTATCGTGCCAAAGGTTCCAGTCTGCGATATTTCCTATTACAAGTAACATTTCCATAACCTGTATAAACTCAGATTCTATAAGAAATGCATTGATCCTGAAACTGCTAGGATATAGAAATTAATATAAAATCAGTGAGGGGAATATTAGTTGAAGTAGTTTGATTATGAACAATAAGAGGTTTCCTGTGCCCTTTGAAGATGGATTCTCTGATATCCAAATCGTAAGTATCGATATTTTTTTCAATAAACATGTTAATTTTACTTCAAATACACTCCTAATTCCTCCATGTTGCACAATATAACAACAACCCTTTCAAAGCTAAGCGAGTGAGTAAATTGAGCCTAAATGACAATATCAAATACCTTGATTTCCGCAGACCATAGTGTTATGGTTCCACTTCACATTCTATGTAAGTTTCGTTCTGTTGACGTTTTGCTAGTGTTTCAGTTTTCTCAAAAGTCGATGTATTGTCACATCTGATATCGAAAACCGCATGAAGGTCGGTCAATTTCCTCACAAGGTATATAGATGGTCGAAAAAGAGTCGAATTCAGAGTGGTCCATTTAGTGTTTTGGAAATAGTTATTTTCCTTACAAGTGCGCAAAGTGTTACTTTTTCGCACACAAATACAGTTAGGCGAACGACGCGGAGGAGAGTTCGAATAAGTTTTTGCGTGCGGAAAAGACACTTTGCGCACGTGTTAGGAACAACGTTTTTCCTACGAGCTGCATATCAGATAAAAAGGAAAATAAAAAACAATTATAACTTATTGAAAAATGTAACTATACAACAATCACATATAACTATAGAATATAATAATAGAAAATCACATTCTCCCTACGAGCTTCATATCAGATAACAACGAAAATAAAAAGACTCCAACTTAAATTTCAATTTATTGAATAATTTTCAGTAAAACTTGATAGAAATAGCTGAACAACAAACAATTACATATCATTGAAATATAATGATAGAAAATTTAATCATTTGTTCCTAATATTCATAATGAAAGAACAATTGTTTTCATTTTGCAAATTGATTGCAGATCCGGTCAGTTCATTTCATGGATGGCTTGATTTTGCGCAGAAGGGCAGTTAATAATATGGCTTGAAGGTTGATTTACCCCAGGACGGTTGTTCAAGTGGGTCGATGGAGGTTGACTTAACTTAGAAGGGCAGCTGTTCATGTGGCTTGATGAAGGTTGACTCAATGCAGAAGGGCAGATGTTGGTGGCCAAAATTTTATTCGACAAGTTATTTTTTTGATTTGTCGAATCAATGTAGCTTTCAGCTACAGAGTCGACGATTTCCAACTACCGAGTCTCTTGACGTTAGTGATTCCTGCTCCAGAATCGGCCAACATGATAGCCGAGGAACGACGGAAACCATGTCCTGTATACTGTTCTGGATTTTCCAATTGTAAGAATGCAGCTATTCTCGAAAGCATTTTACCGAATTAATTCATTCCTACACATTGAGTACTGCATGCTCCTTGGCTATACTGCACAAAAAAACGTCTGTGCGGAGTGGATGGTTTTCGCAAACGTGCATATTCATGATACAGTTGTAAATAATGTCCATTATCTGCTTCATTGGATACTACGAAGATTCTTGTAGTATTGTTTTTACTGTCAGGTATCTTGACGACTATCAAATTTCCTTTATCCCCTATGTGATCAATCATTATCTTGCAAAGCTCATCGCGCCGGCAAGCACCGGCCAACCCAAAAATAGTGACGACTTTTATCAGAAGGTGAATTTGATCAGGTTCTTCTTCCATACATATCTAAACTTCAGTTTCATCAAAAATTTTGCACTTTTTCGGTCGGTATCTTACATTTTACTTCTTCAAAAACGGTGTTACCTTGAAATATTGACTCAGATCCAAGTTTATTTTGACTTTAAGAACAGATTTTAACGAGTACTTACTCCATAGAGTATTTGGCTGAAATATTTTTCGTAGATCTGCAAAATAGGCTAGGATCACCTCCTCCTTGATATTATTTGTCCCTTTGTTGTGGCACCAGTATTGGAAATGTTTATATTGTTTCTCATATTTTTGTTTAGATTTAGCGGGCAGTAAATTTGAACTTGCAGAGTATGCGACCTCTAGGATGGAATCTGGTAGCTCGTCGTCAGAACTGCTCATTTCAACTGCTTTCAAACCTTTTTATGATTCGATGAAGTGACGGTGTCTCTAGATTTTTGTTGACAAAAACTAGTCGCGTTTTATTTATCCGATCCGGAATCAGTTTGATGTGTCGTTTTATTTGCAATTTTTCCGATTCCGGTTGCTACTTTCCATTCCGTCTCACTACAAGGAATGATGTGGAATGACTGTTGACAGGTGTCAAAAAATCAAATTAGATTTACGAAAAACGAACCTTTCTAAAAGTAAAAGACATTTAGACGACATTTTCAGCGTGAGTTTCACTAGTTCATGATTCTTTCAAGTAAGACAGGTTTCATATGTTCATTCCCAGATAAAATAAGCCCTGTCGATCTCAGAGAAGTTTATTCAATCACCACAATCACTGCTCCAAATATTAGTGTATTCATTTTCTTCTAGATTCTCAACTCTATATAGTATTATGCTTATGAAATTATTTGGATCTCCCATTTACAAATATAACCTCCTATGTGAATTCTCTCAAGCAAGGTTATGAAGTTTCTCGTTTTATTTGTAAACGTCATTCTGTTCCCACCACCGCTACCAGAATGGGACAAATAAAACGCAACTACTGAGTAAAAATCTGACATCATGTCAAAGTTGACGAGTGCACTTGATGTTGCTGGACAATATGATACACTATAATCATATATCTTTATACAAGGTGTCCTTTGAAACCGTGAAATTATTTTTTTGTTTTGAGGTGAAATACAAATATCGGGAAGAACGATTGGAAAGTAAAAGGGATAACGGCTTCTTATAGTGCATACAATAATCTACAGCAACTAAAATGAATATAAATGTTCCATACCAGTGAGATTTTTGGGTAGTTTTACTTATCCGCACGCCGTGCGGATAACACCCATATACGCCCTGAGTGCGGAAAAGTATCACTTTGCGCACGCAAATGAGTGTGGAAAAGTACTACTTTGCGCACGCTCGTAGGAAAATGTATTATTAACGATATATGTCTACATTTTTTTCAATGCTGAGATTCATTATGCACAGAGAACTATTAATTGCCACTACGGAATACCGTTCAACATCATCTGAGAGCATTAACAGGCAGCACATGACAAATTCTCTGTAGCCACCATATTGGATGTCCGCCATTACTGTCTGAGAAGAATTCGGAGATGACTTCATATCTAATAATCTTGAACATTCATAGTTGTAGTATACGTGGTTCAAATTGTAGGTTTCTATCATCAAATGCCCAATTATTTCACCTATCTGCCGGACTAACTGTATCTCTTTTTAGCGTAAAAAGATGAAATTTTCGAAGCCCATATTCCCCTACATTCATACAAGTTCAGGAATTATTGCAGAACAACTATTTTCATTCTCACATCTCAACTTTCAATACCTCGTTTCGTTCTGGATGCCTCAAATCATTAATAAGTATATGAACTTTCAAACGCATTCTTCTCAAACATGATGTCTAGACCTGATGACTAGTTCAAAGGGCACCAATTTCGGTACATCTCGTATATGATGTTGTCTGATTCAGACATCAGCTTAAATGAGAAATATGACTCACCAGTGAATTAGAACATTTCCATCTCGAAGCCTGGCAGCATGGATGAAGTCATTGCATACAGAGAAATATTGAGTCAAATTTTGATCAGGAGTGTCAGAAGCCATGACGCATAAATAATGCTTGTCCTAGAAAAAACGAAATATCATCACTAATACATTATTTAATAATTAAATAGTATTAAACTATTAGATATATATAGTATGTAGAGAGAGATATTGATGACAACACACAACTATAATAATTTTATAATAATTAATCACGTGTTGGTTGGGTACAAATTTTACCCCACCATGCTATCGCATTGTGCATGTGATATACAAATATATTCCACTAGATTTCGATTTTAAGTGTGAATTCATGTACTCAAGGACTTTGGTGACCGAAATTCCCCAATCCACGAGAGACTCACAGCAAAAAGACTCGGTTTTTTGTTTTCATTCGACTATCAAAAAATAATTCGACTCGTTGAAATTTCAAACCGAATATTTATCGCGTCTCAAGGAAGATGTGGAGAACCAACAAATGAAATCGACAAACAAGAGAGAGGCAACGAGTTGCTATCAGCTGTTGATTTCGTAAAAATAATTTTGATTTTGTTGCACCTGCGGTCATGTCGATGGCCCTATGTCTTCTGTATATGATCTAGTAGATATATAATGTAAGTTCATTGGCATTAATGTATCTTGCTTTAAGTATTGCCACCCTAATACTTTCGAGTGGGATGTGTTCTTTCCAAGAATAGGATAATGTTATCATTCACCTGCTGGAAACAACAAATTCTGTCTGTTATTTCGGTATAAAGATTTATTTTGTCTAGGCATCTTAATCACAAGATAGATTATTTACTTCACTATATATATATATATATATATATAGAGAGAAGGGAAGTCGTTGCTGACAAGTTAGAGATGAAACTTAGTAGTGGGGAAGCAGCAAGTAAAAGTGAAACTCATGCAAGTTCGTCCAAGCTTTCGGAAAGTTATATTTCCATCATCAGGGCCAGACTACAAAATGTTATAACAATTATAAGCAAAGCTAGTTGACTAAGTGGTGCAGTACTTACAACTCATTGAGGTTGGTTACATAGATGTTACTAACAAGTGATGTATAAATAAAAAAATGTTTGTATAACATATCTGGAACATGACAAATTCAAAAAATTAAAATATTAGGTCAATATCAAAAACGTTGTTGATTTAAAATCATGATGAAACTTTTCTTTTCACAACGTGTGTCAGAATAAAAATCTTTGGTTAGGAAAACTGAACCTTATTCTTCCAATTCACTGGTGACATGGAGCTTAAGTGTGATGACCTTGGTCTTATGGTACCTAGTGCTATTGTGTATTAGTCACAAGAGTATTGGAAGGAGAAAGTTTTTGAGCTACTAGTAAAACGGGAAATATTCTTGCAGGCAATATGTGCATCATATCAAGATTATTAAAAAAGATGTTTATTGTTGGTTATGTTGAGTTGCTATTATTTAATACTGTATTAGGGTTATCAATTGATAAAAGATATGAATAAATTTCGCTAAGATGGTTAATGTCCGATCTTTTGTTGATACAATTTGGTTCTTGGGCAATGAAAGACATTTCCAAAAAAGTTCTTTTTTTGTGGTTACTTTCTGTAGCTAAAATTCTTGCTGATTGAAAATCCATTTTGTGATCAGAGGAATTAACATGGTCCGCCAAAGCACATCTTTCTGGATGAAGCCTACAGTCGCTCCTGTGGGATGTGATTCTGTTGGCTAATGATCTCTTTGATTGCCCGATGTATATTTTATCACAATCCTGACAGGGGATGCTGTACACCACATTCGTCTGTGCAGTAAGAGGTACTTTGTCTTTGACTTTGGTGTAAATTGATCTAATTGTTAAAACTGTTTTATTGGCAATTTTTAGGTTAGGATTTGGAAGAAAAATTCTTGTGAGTTTTGGAGTTAAATCTGATATGTACGGAAGTGAAGAAAAAATTGTATGTATTGGAGGAGTATCAGTAACCACAGTCTCATGCAATTGAATGTTGATTTCAGGTGGAGCTGTCTGTGTCATGGGTGCACTGTGTAGAATTTTTTTGACTAATTGTGGTGGATATGAATTTTCTATGAATAAAGATTGTAAAATATTTAAATTCTTCCTGTGAAATGATGTATCAGAAATTCTGATTATCCTGTTCTTCATTTGTTTTAACAAATTCACCTTCATGTTCTGTTGGTGGAACGAGTTGTAGTTGAGAAATCTGCCTGAACTGCAAGATTTGCGATACCAATCGATTAGGACTATATTGTCCCTCGATCTCACTAGTCTGGTATCAAGGAATGGGACAGCTCTGTCCGTATCTTCAGTTTCAATGGTGAATTGAATTGCTGGATCATAGCTATTAAAGGTAAACAGAATTTCTTCTATACCATCTTCAGGAAGTGAAAGGATGATGTCGTCCACATATTTTTTTATGAAAAAAAGATCAAATGATAACACTGGAATTACTGTGTCTAACAGGTCATCCATTACATAGGCAGCGAGAATTGGTGAAATTGATGCACCCATCGGGGTGCCAAAAGTTTGTTTATAGAATTTGTTGTTGAATGAGAAATATGTATTATTGAATAAAAAAGTGATGAGATCTAGGAACGACTCTTTAGTGATTGTACAGTAGTTATTGATACGTGACCAATTTTTTTCAATTGCTCTCAAGCAAGCATCTAAATAGACATTGCTAAAAAGTGACACAACATCTAAGCTTGCTAAGACATGTCTCTGTGGGAGTTTTATTTTGTTGAATTTTTCTGATAACTCAAAAGAATCTTTTATGTAATACTGATTGTCTTGATCATAAGCTCTTGTCAAAATATCTGTAAGGTAAGCTGCAATAGCTTCAGTGGGTGCTCCTATTGATGCCACTATTGGCCTGACTGACAACGTTGGTTTATGTATTTTTGGCAGTGCATAGAATTTAGGAGATATTCCATTGTAGCTAGTGAGCTTTTTTTTAGTAGCTTCATCAATCTGTCCTGAATCTTTCAATTTTTTAATCAAGATGTTACCTTGTCTTTGTATTGTAGAGGTTGGATCTTTCTTTAATTCTGAATATGATGTACTGTTCAGTAAGATGTCATTAGACAGGTCTAGGTATTGTTGTTTTTCCATCACTACTGTTACGTTCCCTTTATCAGAGTTTGTAAGAATAATGTTGGGGTTGTCTTTAAGAAATTTTCTGGACTTATTGAGAAGGTTGTGATAAAAAGATTGTTTTTTGTTATCTGAATGATGAATGTGATTAGTTATTGCATTTGTTGCTCTAGCTATGGATATACTCCTTAAGGAGTCATCAGGAATAAATGAAGTTATATAATCTACATCTGCTAAGATACGTTTTATGGGAATGTCTTTCATCACATTTGGTTCAATGCTAAATTTTGGGCCTAGTGATAAGAATTTTGAAATATCTTCCGGAATGACAGTGTTAGAGATATTTTTTAACCATTTTGAACTGGTCTTGAGTTTGTTGTTCTGTTGATCAAGTTTTAACTTCTTCAATTTATTGATATTGTTAGATTTGACTCTGTGAAAAATCTTGTTATATTGCACAATTTGTCTACTTGAAAAATCTAAGAAAGTATATTCATTAGTGATCGTTATAATGTCTCTTTTCAGAGAGGACAAAGAATTTTGAAGATTATTTATCAATTGTTGATTTGATGCAATTTCCATATTAATAAGTTTGATCCCTAACCTGTGATTGTACTGTGACACATTTCTGTTAATCTCTTGTCTTAGAAGTAGGTTGTGCAATGGCCTGGTTGAAGCAATGATGTGTTGTGGTAGGATGTCAAAATGTTTGCACTGCAGGAGAAAGCATCTTCTGTTCAATTCTTTGGCTAGTTTCATTTTGGATTTTGACCATAATTTCAATTTCTTCACTGCCATGTCACCATAGGTAGTCTTGATGTGATCGAAGTACCCCATATCTGTAGAGTAGAGAGAAGGGAAGTCGTTGCTGACAAGTTAGAGATGAAACTTAGTAGTGGGGAAGCAGCAAGTAAAAGTGAAACTCATGCAAGTTCGTCCAAGCTTTCGGAAAGTTATATTTCCATCATCAGGGCCAGACTACAAAATGTTATAACAATTATAAGCAAAGCTAGTTGACTAAGTGGTGCAGTACTTACAACTCATTGAGGTTGGTTACATAGATGTTACTAACAAGTGATGTATAAATAAAAAAATGTTTGTATAACATATCTGGAACATGACAAATTCAAAAAATTAAAATATTAGGTCAATATCAAAAACGTTGTTGATTTAAAATCATGATGAAACTTTTCTTTTCACAACGTGTGTCAGAATAAAAATCTTTGGTTAGGAAAACTGAACCTTATTCTTCCAATTCACTGGTGACATGGAGCTTAAGTGTGATGACCTTGGTCTTATGGTACCTAGTGCTATTGTGTATTAGTCACAAGAGTATTGGAAGGAGAAAGTTTTTGAGCTACTAGTAAAACGGGAAATATTCTTGCAGGCAATATGTGCATCATATCAAGATTATTAAAAAAGATGTTTATTGTTGGTTATGTTGAGTTGCTATTATTTAATACTGTATTAGGGTTATCAATTGATAAAAGATATGAATAAATTTCGCTAAGATGGTTAATGTCCGATCTTTTGTTGATACAATTTGGTTCTTGGGCAATGAAAGACATTTCCAAAAAAGTTCTTTTTTTGTGGTTACTTTCTGTAGCTAAAATTCTTGCTGATTGAAAATCCATTTTGTGATCAGAGGAATTAACATGGTCCGCCAAAGCACATCTTTCTGGATGAAGCCTACAGTCGCTCCTGTGGGATGTGATTCTGTTGGCTAATGATCTCTTTGATTGCCCGATGTATATTTTATCACAATCCTGACAGGGGATGCTGTACACCACATTCGTCTGTGCAGTAAGAGGTACTTTGTCTTTGACTTTGGTGTAAATTGATCTAATTGTTAAAACTGTTTTATTGGCAATTTTTAGGTTAGGATTTGGAAGAAAAATTCTTGTGAGTTTTGGAGTTAAATCTGATATGTACGGAAGTGAAGAAAAAATTGTATGTATTGGAGGAGTATCAGTAACCACAGTCTCATGCAATTGAATGTTGATTTCAGGTGGAGCTGTCTGTGTCATGGGTGCACTGTGTAGAATTTTTTTGAC